TACATCAGGTTTCATAGAGCCAAACATTTCAAGTGCTACTCAACTGGCTTTAGATAAGCCAGTCCTTTATTCGTATATAAGTGCTCTGTTAGCAGTTCTTTGTTAGTAATTCTATCGCTCGAAGTGGAGTCGAAAGAGATGAGTTTTCAGTCTGCGCCGGAAGATGTGCCGGCTATCTGCTGTCCTGATTTCAATGGGGAGCTCATTCCACCATTTTGGAACCAGGATAGCAAACCCATGTGTTTTTCCTGATGGGAACTTGGGTCCCCCTCGCAGCGAGGGTGCAGCGAGCCGTTTGGCTGATGCAGAGCGAAGTGCACGCGCTGGGGTGTACAGTTTAACCATGTCCTGGATGTAAGAAGGGCCAGATCCATTCGCAGCATGGTATGCAAGTACCATTGTTTTGAAGTGGATTCTAGCAGTTACTGGAAGCCAGTGAAGTGAGCGGAGGAGCGGAGTGGTGTGGAAACATTTTGGAAGGTTGAAGACCANTCCAGACCCGGAATGTGGAGGGCTCTCAGAGATAACACCACCTCTGAAGCCCATAACCACAGTTTCTCCGCCGTGGTCAACAAANCGAGCCTCTGTCAGGACAAATAATCTTCAATCCGAATACTTTCGTCTTTATCGCTCTACTAGACAGGGTTGTCCTTTGAGTCCATTGTTATCTGCGATCCGATCGCAGATAACAATGGACTCAAAGGACAACCCTGTCTAGTAGAGCGATAAAGACGAAAGTATTCGGATTGAAGATTATTTGTCCTGACAGAGGCTCGTGGAGAGGAGTTCAACAGCTTAACCCAAGAAATAAGATTTTTCCCGAAGCCAAACTTCTCTAAAGTATATAAAAGGTATATTTGTATACCACTCCACTCTATCAAACACCTTATCCGCATCTAAAGATATTAAAGCCTCCTGAGAATTAGAGGTGGAGATATTATAGATTGTATTGAACAGACGTCTTAGGTTCGAAAAGCTGTGTCTGTTACGAATAAACCCTGTCTGGTCTGGAGAGATTATAGATGGGAGAATGGATTCCAGGCGTAACATCAATAGCTTCGATAACAAATTAAAGTCAACATTCAGCAAACTTATTGGGCGGTAGGAAGAGCAAGCTACAGGATCCTTGCCTTTTTTCAAGGGGAGAGAGATAGAGGCTTGAGTAGAGTCTGAGGGAGGCAACCAGAGAGAAATGATTCGTTAAACATGTCCAATAATAAGGGGGCTAACTTATGCCAAAATGTTTTATAGAACTTGGAAAGATAACCATCTGGTCCTGGACATTTTCCACCTTGAAGAGAAAACACAGCTACTTTGAGTTCTGCAATAGTAATTGGCTTTTCTAGTTATTTTGCAACAGACTGTTCAATAGGGAGAATGACCAACTCATCAAAAAAAGCATCAAAATTGGGAGAAGTAGGACCATGATCTGACGAGTACAGGGACATATACAATTCCTTAAATTCCTTATTTATTTCCAGAGGTTCAGTAGTTACACCTGAATCTGTTTGGATTTGATGAGATGATGATGCCTGGCGTAACTGGTAACTGGTCACCATGTTCGTAATACCTGGATCTCGTTTGGAGCAGAAGTTCAGTAGTATGATCTGTCATAAGGACATCAAACTGTGCCTGAACGGATATACCTCTGGGGATCGGGACGTAGCATACATATTATCCAGTTGAGATTTGCGTTGTGTCAGATAAATCAGTTTTTGTTTTCTCATTTTGTTCTCATATCCTGCAAACAAGATAATCTCCCCCCTAATATATGCCTTTAATGCCTCCCACAACACCGAGGCTGAAACATCAGGTGTTTTGTTTAGACTCAAAAAATATATCTATTGGCTGTGAAACAAATCCAACAAAATCTTCAATTGAGAGTAAGTGTGTATTAAGATGCCATGGCCACGTGTAGTAGTACGGTTTTAAAAATGTATATTCACAGATATCGGAGGGTGATCAGATATGACAATGACATCATATTTATATGCAGACACAGAAGGGAGTAATCTGTTATTAACCAGGAAAAAATCAATGCGGGTAAAAGTATGATGAACACGCGGGGGAAAAAAAATGTTCCCTTTTTATAAGGGTTAAAAAAGCGCCAGGCGTCGGAAACGGCAAACTCTTTCATCAAAGACTGAATTACTCTGGCCGACCTCGAAGGCATATAGACCTTGGGCGGAAGAGCGATCCAAGCGGGGATTAAGCCAGCAGTTAAAGTCTCCTCCTAATATTAAGAAGTGTGAAGACATATCAGGAATCCTTAAGAAAAGACGTTTAAAAAAGGCATCATCATCACAATTGGGAGCATAAACATTAACGAAAGCCACGCGGGTGTTATGAATCTGGCCAGTAACTATGACGAATCTGCCATTAGAATCAGAGATGACTGTTGAGTGAACAAAGGGAACAGATTTATGTAACAGAATTACTGCACCCCTTGCTTTGCCCCCAGATGAAGAATGGTAAATCTGACCTCCCCATCCCCTCTTTAATTTCTAATGATCAATAACCTTAAGATGAGTTTCTTGTAGAAAGGTTACTTGGGCACCCAAGTGGTGGAGATGGTGTAAAACCTTGCTAAGTAAATCTAATGTCGCCCCCATCAGACAGTACTGTTAAATTAGGCTGGGTCATGACAATTGGCATTCTGTAGCAGCACTGCAAATAGAAGTACAAATAAAGATATAATATCTGACTGGTGAAAAAACAAACAAAAAAACACATAAATGTACACATACATACCCCTTCCCAAATGCATTTGAAGAGCCATTCAGGAAAAAAACTGATTTCCTATTTCTGCACAATTTTAACTTCATAAACATACTTTGGCATTAAGCAAAACCTGGAAACTTTGTAACCTATTTCTTCATTCGTCTTACTGTATGTGACTCAACACAACTTTTTGCCAAAGTTTAAACTTTTATTTAATTTGGGTACTTTTTAAGTCTGGACTTGACTTTGGGTTTCATAGCCAACACTTTAGATTTACTATTGGCTAAATGTAAGATTCATTTGTCCCCTCGTGGTTTTTCAGGCTTTGAATGAATGTTCCCATTCACGACACAAGCCTTAAATCTCTAAATGGCTCAGTTGTTCTCGCAACAAGTCTCATCATACAACGACTGTATTTGAGTTTCTAAACAAATTGCAGATTTACAGTATATCCAGGTATATAAATGAGTCAATGTTCTCTCCTATTTTGTCCAGCCATCTGAGGACCATGACCGCCCTGCTGGATCCCACCCAGATAGAAGAGAGAGAGAAGAGGAGGCTCAAACAGCTGGATCAGCAGGTAGGAGGAGGAGGAGGAGGAGGAAGAAGAGGAAGAAGAGGAAGAAGAGGAGGAGGAGGAGGAGGAAGAGGAGACAGGATGGAGTACAGCAAGGTCTTTTTTTGCTGGCATTGTGAACAGTGTCCCATGTCTCCTCCCACAGCGAGCGATTGAGGCCCAGGTGGAGGAGCGACGGCGGCAGAAGGAACAAGAGGAGGCGAGGAGAAGAGAGGAAGAGAAAGAGGACGAGAGGAGGGTGGCGCTAGAGAGGGAGATGATGGAGAGACAGTACGAGATCGACACACAGAGGGAGAAGCAGAAGGTTGGGACACAAACAATGCACACATTTTCTCCACACTGTATTATTTCTATGTTGTAATTATAATTATAGTGTGTTTGTGCGTGTGCGTGTGTGCGTGTGTGCGTGTGCGCGCGTGTGTGTGTGTGTGTGTGTGTGTGTGTGTGTGTGTGTGTGTGTGTGTATGGAACAGGGTTTCGCCTTTTGGAACAGCCAATCACAATGCAAGGTGTAAACCACATGATGTCACTGACGCTGTCGATTGGAGGATTTGACTCCCTCATGTCGGAAGTTCACACAGGCACTAATGTGATCACACAAGAAAGTCACCGGTATACGAGCACAGAGGGCGCATTTTTATTTTTCGAAAACTCTATACAACAGAAACATGAATTACAGTTAAACATGCTTACGGTATGTTTTATATTATACGGTTTATCACTGTTTACTAACACGACTATCCCTAGATACGTTGCTAGCTTACGTTAGCAACTGCCTATCGTCACTGCGTCTATTATCTAACGTTGCCTCAAAATACAGGCACCTCTTTCAATCATTTTCTGTGAAACCTTTTCAACATACTCGTCTTTTAAAACAGTCTACAAATGGCAAGGAGCGTCGGTCGAATATGTAAGGGCTTTCAACGCCTAGGCTTACTCTCTAAACAAACTCAACTCGTCCCATTTACCAGAGTTCCAGTTGGGACTGCACGGACCATAGTGGTATGTATAATAATCTCACTGTATTTACTAAAGTGCTTGAAAAATAAATGACAGTTCGGGGTTTCCTCTGTGCGCCACGGGAACTCCTCTCACTCCTTCCAGATGATTCTCAGCCCAGTTAGCTGCTGTGATTCGATGGTGTGTTAACGTCATTCATGTACAAACACTGGGGACGTTAGAGGAAGATATAACTGTATATTTTAATCACTAAGTGAAAGAAGTGGGTAACATTTACCCAACTCTGTTTAACAGCATATGCCGTTTATATTGCAAAATGTGTTTATTGGGTAAACCTGTAACACACTTATTACAATCCAATACAAAACACTAGACCACAAATTCTACCCCTTTTTAGGTTTTTTATTTGGGTTGTTGTTTGCAGAGCTGGACTGCATTATATTGAGAGGTATTTCTATTATTTTGCCCAACCAATTTATTGACACGAGGGGCAAGAATATTAAAAACAAATGTTGATATCATGTAGTCCATTGCAACACCAATTCAAACTCAACACAGTAAAACATCTCTGTTCTGTCTCAGATGTCAATTACATGTATTTACTACAGCACTTGTGCCAGCAAGCAAAACCCTATCATGAGATATAATGTTAGAATTCAATTTTGCTCAGGGCTGCTCCAAATGACACACTCACACTTCATTGTTTGGGTCTGCAGAGGCACAAATATTAGGCCGGATATACCCAGGACAACAAGGTCTTAAAGAGGGATGTGTAGGTCTCTTTTTAGTCATTTTCTTTAAACATGCACATCACAAGAAATGTAGGCACACAAAGGTCTTATAATCTTCAGAAGTGGTCAGTCTGTTAATTATCTCGCATCAGAACAGTTCAATGCTCTATGTGGGTTATTCAATAAAGGATTTACTATAACTGTGATTCATCAATTTACATACTGTACATGCAGGCATATTTTTAACACACGAAAAATGGTGAGTTGTCGGTCTGTTAATTCTGCAGGACAGTCTTAACACACTCCCACCAACGGTTTAAATAATTTGCCTGTTTTGCAGACACTGCCATCATTCCTATTCCCCCAGCCCCGGGACTTCAGCCTGCCTAACCCCTCATGGGGCTCAGAAATGACGCGCATGTACGAGCATTATGAAAGCCAGTGTGAGGTGGAGACGGAGGGAGGACAGAAACAGAAAGGGCCGTGGCGGAGACTGCCAAGCTACAATCGCCTCCTCAAATATGCTACAGGTAAAGTGTTTGTCTCTCTGCTTGTTTTTGAAAAAATATATTATGTATTATGTTTTATTTCCCAAAGATGCCATGTTAGCTGCTAAAAGTTAACATGTGTGTTTTTCCATCAGGTGGAGTATATCTTAGTAAGATGATCCAGTCAGAGGCTCGCCTGTTTACGCGGAACATCAGAAACCCGGGGGCAGCATTTGAGTATGTTTTGTTTATTAACAAAGAAGAGCAGAAGTGTGTGTGCATACTCCAAGCTGGACACCTTTTGGAGGGGCCGCCAGGGTGAGGAAATGTTAATGTTGCAAATGTGTGTGTAAAAATGTGTACATGCTTTTACTACTCCACACTAACATCAACATGTTAAACACATTTGCACACTTTATGGTTTTGAATATTTTATCTTTTTTTGGTCTGAATTTTGCTAGTACGGTGCACCTTAGTATTGGATTTCAGCCACAGATCTGGTTGCAGGTCATACCCCTTACTCCCTGCCCACATTTCCTGTCTGCCTCTATATTACCAGCAAAAGCTAAATTCCATAAACAAATCAAAAGAAGAAAGTCTATTTGTATATCTTCGAACTTTGGAAAACTGCCCTTTTTAAACTTTTTGTTTGATGTCTAATATACGTGTTTGTGTGTTTCCAGACATGTCCATGGGGGGGCAATAGCCACTATGATTGATACTGTCACAGGGACTCATGCTACCTTCCTCTCTGGACCTGTTATGACTGCCAACCTCAACATCAACTACCGCAGGTACAAGAAGAACGTCATTTTATAGACATGCAACAGTTGATTGGATGTCAAAAGATTAATTTTTTTGGCGTCCATAGCCCAACTGAATGACTTATTGAAGCTTTATTTAAATCTTCACCAGTGAGAAATTACAGCCTGGAAATGCTTCTTTTTAATCGGCTTGTATGATGATAGACAAACTAACATCTCCATACTATATGGCTATTCATCCTTCATGGTCAGTTTCTTCCTGACAAACCCTTGTCTTGTCCCCAGGCCCATCCCACTGGGAGGCACAGTGTTGCTTGAATCCTCTCTGGAAAAGAAGGAAGGCCGAAAAACATTTATTACATGTAGAGTGACAAGCACAGACGGTTCCAAACTTCACACAGAAACATCAGGTAATGTACATTTTTTATAATCACAACGGGACGTCGTATTAAAGTTTGTGGTTGGTAACACCTCTGCTCTTCCTCCTTTTTTAACGCCACTGTCCTGTTTTCTGTCCTGTTTCCTCATGCAGCACTGTTCCTGTCAATCACTGCCAGCCATCTACTGGGAGGCTGACACAAACACACCGGCCTACCACAGATCCTAACACTGAGGACACAACGAGCGCGCGCGCGTGTGTGTGTGTGTGTGAATGCGTTAGTGGGTGAGTGCGTGTGTCTGTACGTGTGTCATTGGTTTGGAGTATTTTTTGGGGAATGTGTACTTACTTGCCAGTTATTTAAGAAATAGCTTCTCTACATATGATATTGTTGAACTGTTATTATATCTTTATATTCATACATCTCCACTGGTCAGTATGTATTTATAAACAAGCTGTGCAGCTTCATGAAAAATACCTTTAGACCTCCAGAGTACATATCTAAACATTATTTATTGAACTGATTGTGTTAGGGGCTATTTATTGTAACTTTTACAGTATTGATTATGATTTTATCCAACATTGAAGCCTTACAGTAACTTTTACAGTATTGATTATGATTTTATCTGACAATGAAGCCTTTGAAAGTGATATTATTGCTCAAAACATAGTGATTATGAAGATTTTCTTTCCTCCAATAAAGCCTTACCTATTGTTACTATATGAACGAGGAAAACCATGTGTTTATTCGTTTGTCAACAAGTGAAGTTGTTTACAACAGGGCAACAGTTTTAACTGCCATTATAACTTAACATAATATAACGTATATTAAAAGGTTTAATGACAGGCACGTTTTTTTTGTTAAAAAGCCAGAATAGAGAGTGTCCTGTGCTCTTGTCTGTTTGCCATAAAAGGATTAAGGATTTATATACAGTATAAATAAATTCTGATATTTGAGTATGAGGTGTAGATTTGCAGCCATGAGATTATAATGACTTCAATGGGGAACAAGGGGATCAAACTCAAAATCATCTTGTTCATTGGCTGGTTTTACTCAATCATGCTGATACTGAATGTGTTTCTACAGTCAAAAATGACTGAGCGTGCCACGATACGCCATAATTAGTAAAACTGTCCACATCACAGAGACCTGTGCTGCTCCTGCAGCTGCTGCAGCCCACGAGGCTGAAAAAGTGCAGTGAGAGACCTGAGACTATAAAGAGAGCTATTTTGGGTTATGTACTGTACTGAATGTGGGTTGAAGGCATTGCATCCTTTGATTTGTAAATGAAGCTATGAAACATCTGAATTAAATGTCAATATCTCACACTAGTATACTACTATACTAGTAGTGTTTACATTGTACTGGACATGTTGATAACCAGGCGTTACTTGTATGTAACTACTCACTGAGAACAAAGCCCTTCTGCTCTTTATTTTACCCAAACTATAAGTGACATCTTATGTTGATGTTCATGAAACATCGCAATTATTTCAGCTGGAACATTTAAAAAAGGAGCTAATATTTGTATCCATTAATGCTTCCTTTTTTTGTTGTATTAGCATCCTCGTTTTTCTTTATATATAGGCCTACTGTATCTTGTATATATTTATTTTTCTTCACAGCCAACCAGCTCTAAATACCCTTGAAATAAATGTGACAATTAGAAGTAAAATTACTATTTCATCCATTTAAAATACAAATACAGGAGTGGCTTATATTAGCAGGTTCTACTCTGAAGGTTCTTTTTGTTTTTATGAAGTAAAATATTGGTTAAGAGTATACAAACCTTGCACACATTTAGCTTCAGTTCTCACAGTTTGGTCTGACGTGTGGTTTTTGAGTGTCTGGGCTCAGAGGCCTGGTGGTCTTCTGAGGGCCCCTCACATCTTTAACCTCAGTACAAGTGCAGATGGAAATGCTATACCTAAGTTTCTAAAAACGTGTGTGTGTGTTAGTTGGTGGATGCAGGACAAATTAACAGTTTTTTCTTCTCCCCTGAAGAGTCATGTGGTCAAGTTGGGTTTGAGGAAACGGGTGGGGGCAGAGTGGGGGTAGTTGTTTTTAACTTTCAGTTAAAACCACCTGCAACAAGCTCTGCCCAATGTAGCACTTCCAAAGACTGATTTTTACTTTAGATATGTTACCCTAAAGTGTATCTTTGACTTTGAAAGGTTAATTTGACCTGTAATCCTTAAAGAAAGAATCAAAGAAGGGCTCAACGTGGAAGCATCTGACAGAATGGCGGTATCTTAAACTTACATGAAAATGAACCGTTATTTTTAAGGACTTTTTTTTTCTACCAATCGTCATCTTTAAGTGTTAGTGTGGGTTGATTTCTTAAGCAAAATAGGACTAATATAGGATGTCAAGCTGTTACTTAATCATTTAGAAGAGAATGTATCAAAGACAGCTGTGCATGTGAACCAAGTAAAGATAACACCAATTTCTCATTTACAGCCTCTCTCCTATGGATTTGGTAAGGAATGGGCTCTGGTAACGTGCAGGCTACTACTTGTGTTGTTCTTTAAGTGGGTTTTACATTTAATATTGATTAGTAACTTGAATAAATCATTAGACTAAACTGGATTTATGTGGGACCTATATGGTTATCAACAGATTTCAACAGACATGCATGTTGTATTGATGCTTGGACAGGTCTCCCTTGAAAAAGAGATCGAGGATTTCAATGGGACCGCCTGGTTAAATAAAGGTTTAATATATATTTTTTAAATGTGCTGAGCTGAAAGAAGTATAATTTTTTGATCCTTTACTTAAGGATCAAATAACTTAAGTAAACAATGCCACGTGGTATACTTATAATTTAAATCCCATATCAGTATCAGAAGGGATTAAATAGATGTCATATGTGATTAATACATAAACAACAGCATTTTAATGTGGCATGTTGATGTGGAACAGATTTGAAAAAACTTTTAAGAGGATTTGTCCGTAAACACTAATCTCAAAAGTAAATTGCTCCAGCTGTCAGATAAATGCAATTTAATAAAAATAAAAACAACAAAAAATATTACACGAGTAAAATATCTTATCACATTCCACCATTGGCACAGTCCATCCAGCATGTGATTCTGTAAGCGTCACGTGATGGAGGAACATTTACCACAATGATGTAAACTGAGAAGACATATCGATTATTCATCGTTTTCTTTGTGTCTGAAGTTATTCTCCTACTTCAGATAAAATCAAGTAGCCTATTGCAATTAAAGTAGTCTCTCTGCATACTACAAGTGGTACTTGTAAAGAGTCCTGCAGGTGCTTCCACTTGGTCTATCCAGCATATGAAGAGGGATATAAATGTGGTTTTTGTTTTTCATGTTGCTGTTACTGTGAACATTGAAGTAAAAGGCCAGACCTGCATTCAAGTGTCTTCTCTATGCATTGTACTTTTTTTCGATTAGTGTGGCGGAAATGTGTGGCAGCACCATGGGATTATATTTCTCCACTGAGCACAACAGAGCAAAACCCGATCCGCTGCTATTACGTAACAGCCGGTGACATAACTCTCTCCAGCCCGGGACGGTCAGGGCACACGGAGCGCGCTGGGAGGGGGAGGCCGGGGCGCGCGGCTTGTGAACGGCCGGCCGGTCCAGCTGCACTCTCCCCTCTGCTGCTGCTGCCTCGGGGGGAATTAGATTATTTCAAAAATAACCACACATGAGGAGGTGTACTTTCGAACAAAAAGGGAGGCTGACAGAGAGGGGTAACAAGATGACGACCGAGTTCTGGGTCCCACTGTAAGGACAGGAAGGAGGCGAGATGGCAGTGCATGTTTTCAAATGCCTGCGCCGGCCCGGGCGCTAGAGCAACCAACAGGTAGTATGAGCTCGAGTTTTGTCACGTTACCGTCTTAGTCTAATGGCGGCAGTGGGTGTTCAAAATAAACTGACTTGCCAGGGGTTTGTGTGTGTGTCTGTGAGAGAGGAGAGTGTGTAGGACCACCCAGTGTTTTGACAGGAGAGTTATGGAATATGAGGAGCTCGACGTGCCCCCCACTGACAGCCCCATCAAAAGAGGTAAGGCCGGGGATCCATCACAGAGGTTTATTCTGCAGCATGTCTGGGCTTTGTGAACTGTTTTGCCCCTGGATGTAGCATATGGTGTTTTAGCGGCTAATAGCTGATTTCTTCTTTTATATTTACACTGCAGTGTTACATTTTGTCTTCATGTCCTCTCTCTTTGACATAAAGCAAGCCTTATCTCCCAGCATGCCATGCTTTGTCCACTCCCACCCACATTTATCTCCTCCTTCTGTATCTCACTTTGCTTACCTTTTCCTAAACTGGCTGGTCGTCCCATGTCTCATTGTTCACTTTCTCTCCACTCACATTCATCTTCACCTGTTTAACCCTCCTCATCCCTCTCACTGCAGTGTGGTTAAGGTGCTGCGAGTGGGTAAGAATGGCAGTAAGCCGGAGTAATCCTTAGGGATTACTTCTTATTTTTGCTTCTGTTTTTGGTCAATGCATTACTATTCAAAGCCTCTCCTCGGCTAAAATCAAACTTGCAGTCACTTGATCAAGACACATTGTCCCTCTTCCAGAAGCCCATTGAACACCTTTCCTACTATAATCTCAAGCATTTGCTAGAGTTTACCTGCAGAGCTTCACCAATGGATGAGAAAGGCACATTGAAGAAAAATAAAGTGTATTTTTTTTACAGTGTAGTAGCAACATCTAGCTTGAGTTAAGATAGCAGGATCACACTCAATTAAATCGTCCCGCATTCTAGATGTTATTCATTCGACAGTGCACACCAGCAATTACGCTAATTTTCCAGCTTCGTTTGTTAATAAAAAGTCATTTATTTTGACATTAATATAGTGATTTGGTGATACTACAGTACCAAAAGATATAGATAAAGAGACAAAAGATTGAGGTTAACAGAGAGAACCAGAGTAAAAAATATGAACGCATGCAAACCATAAGGAATATTCATTAATATTGTCCAAAATAATGATTTCACAATCTTGGATTTTCACTGCACAATCATCATGGCCAAAATAATTCTCAATACAACAACTTTTGAAAAAAACGTGTTTCTTCTTATTTGTATGTGGGGGAGAAAGACAAAGCATGAGCGAAGGAAACATAAATGAATAAGAGCTGGATTATTTACACGATTTTATCATGTGTATTATTAACATGACAAATATTAAAATGTTTATTATAATGGTTATTGTCAATGCCGGTATATTGCAACACTCCTACTATAGTCCAAAGCATTTTTTGTATCTTGTCAAGTGGTAGAGATTTTACATTTTTTATTAAAATGTGGTTAGATACTCAATTGTACTAGAGGTAAACAAAGGTTTGTTTTATATCATAACTAAATTGCTTTTAAACTCCTTAAACTTAACTCCCCTGCCATGGGTGAGTGATGTCATTGCATTACATTAATTTAGCTGACAATAAGTACATTCATCCATGAAGAAACCAACTCAAAAGCAAGAATCCTGCAGGTCCATTTCCTATCTAAGCCCAACCAGATTAAGTTCTACTGCATTATTTTAAAGCCAAACCTTTGTAAATGCTTTTTTTTTTTGTTCAAGCCAAGATCATTTTATTTTAAATTATGAAGATGAGATGTAAGGGATTCCGGTTGTACCAAATGTGTCAGACAATTTTCTTGGCCATTTTATTTTAAATCATGTATAAGACATCCGGAGCTGGAACCACGTTATACAGGATACTGACCCGATACTACGGAAAAAAACATTTGAACAACCTTAGAGCTACACAGGAGGTTGAAGATATTTGTAAAAGAACAACATCAGCTAATTTATCAGATACTGGAATTGCTGTAATGGCGTTTCAATCTGGTTAAAGTGAAGTTTCAGTGTGGTTGCACAGTTTTCCATTTAGCTGAGATGGCTCTTCTTAAGGTAATTTTTGGTTTTAGTGGCTGTTGTGGGTGTCTGCTCATTTTTCTCGAGCGCTGGGTTTGAATCTCTGGCACTGCTCCACATTGCATTTCCTCCTGTCTGTAGAGTAAACATGCTTCCGTTCATTATTGGATACCAACTGTCTCTGGTGTCCCTCAGGGATCTATCCTAGGTCTTTTCCTCTTTTATTCTGCAGTGATTTGTAAACTTAATATCCGTGTTCATTGTGATATCAAGCCTCTAGCCTCTCTAAAAAATACTTATTTATCATTCACAATCATGATTTCCTTTAAAATAAATTGGTATAGATGTTTTAACGAACGGTCAGTCATTTTTAGGCCAATAAACGGTGTAATGTTTTCTGCAAGACATTCCACAACATCTATTTCTATTCATTTTAAAACGATGAATCCGGCTTGTATTTCTTCGCATCTGGAGCAGTGTGCTTTAACGTTTTATGGTGGCTTTTCTTCATTTGTAAGCAGTTAGTTCTGAGCTACATTTCTGGCTTCTTAATGATTCAACACCTTCAGACAGCTTTGTTAGTGCCATAGATTTGAGGTTAGTTTCTCTTTTGGTCATCACCCTACCTTTTTTATAAGGGTTGCCCTAAACATAGTTTATATTGTCCTTTTTATGTATTCCGTTTGTTGTTTTTATAAACATTTATTATTAACCTTGTTATAGCTTTGACTTCTTCTACACTAATTTTTTTACACTGGCATGAAGTTGGAGAGTATTTATAGGATTTTTTAAATATTGTTTATATTATAATATTGTATTTTTCTGTGCTGTATGTCATGGTTTATAATAAGGCCAAGCTGTCGGCCTGCTCTCAGGGTTCAGTGGTCTTCAGCGCTGTTATGTAACGCAGCAACTGTCACTTCAGCAGTCAGCTTAGATGTTAGAGTGCAGAGAAGAGAGTGAGTTTCTGACTGATGAGTGGAGTTGATGTTTGTGGCTCTGTAATCAGCACAGTCGTTTACAGTGAGTATTTGTGTGCGTGCGTGCGTGTTTGTGTGTGTGTTTGTTTGTTAAAACTGTGTGGGGTTGACGGCTTGGCTGACAGGTGTGTCTTGTCACGTGTGCATGCTATGTCACATTTAGTTAGTTTGTTTAAAAGCCGATGCTGCTGATTGCATATGTTTTCCCCCTCACCTCTAGCCACCGACCGCTAACCTTTTTCTGTTCCATTACCATCAACTTTAATAACTAGAAATCATTAACACCACATTTCAGAAATGAGCATTGGCCAAAATTCAGTGTACTGCGGATTACTTTTAATTATTTTTTAGTAAGTGTGTAACTTACCACAGTAAATGCCTATGCATGCAGTTGTGTATTTACATAACTGACTAACACAACTATATGGATGCAAGGCCTTTGAAACTCTTTAAAATAATAACTTTTGAAAGGTTAAAAAAAAAAATTGGATTAAAAGAAAATAATAATTAGAGTACGATTTCATCCAACATAAATCTTTTTACTTATCAAACCCTCACTTGGGCTTGACATTTATTTACTTTTTTCCGTGTGTGTGTGCACTGCTCTGCTTTCTTTCCTTGCTTTCTGCTTATGAAGCAAAACTGATTTGATGAGGGGAGGAAAACAGTGGAAACCACAGAGGGCCTGATGTGACACCAGACAAAGACCGGCTAGCTCTACGTCTTCCATTGATACTTATCTCCACTGCCTTCAAACATCTCTGTCTCACACACACGCAGACGCGCACACACAACTCCTGAAATAAACCCCATAGCTCAGAATTGCCCCTCTGCAAGTTTACTCACACTCACTGCAATTCAGACTTTCTCACAATTGTGGTCAAACAGGTAGACAAAAAAAGAGCACATATTGCTTCACAGACACCCACTTTCCTCTGCCTTTATCTCCTGTGTGTGTGTGTGTGTGTGTGTGTGTGTGTGTGTGTGTGTGTGTGTGTGTGTGTGTGTGTGTGTGTGTGTGTGTGTGTGTGTGTGTGTGTGTGTGTGTGTGTGTGTGTGTGTGTGTGTGTGTGTGTGGTTGCCAAAGAGTCACACTTTTCATTGTGAAAAGGAATTCTTTAATTGAACCTCTATGTTATCAGTAGGGCTTCTTATCTGTCCACAGGTTTTTTTTACATTGGAAACAAATACAAAGAAAGTAATGCATTCTTAAAACCCTGAGCGAAACTGCCATCAAGCATTTAATGAGGAGTTTATATCTGTATGTTGAAGCAGTTGTGTCAAAACACTTTTCATAGCTAATTTAGTCCCTTGATTCAAATCTAAATCAGTGTATTTCAGGATTTAGATACTCATTTGCAAATGTAATAGGTTTTAATTTATTCTAAAATTACAATAATTTAAACTATTGTAAACATGAGGATTTGATGCCGAGCTAACCATGCTACAGTGCATGATTTAGTGGGAGAGAAGTATTCACAAAATTCAGAAACAAATATTAATACAAAATAACAAAAGATTATGAACAAACTCCAAAAATGTAAAAGTATTATATTCCAAAATAGTAGCAGAGGTTTTGGCAACAATACACACTTCAGAATGAATGGTATTATCGAAACACCCCCTGTTATTGTAATATTATATTATCAAACAACTATTGTGTAGGCACTACTTTTATGCTTTAGATTTGGAGTTTTGGGTATTCATTTCTTCCTGAAATGTTGTGAAATAGTGTAGTGAAATGCAAAGTAGCAAAACACATTTTTAAATAAATATAGCAAGTACTTCAGTATATAAACCTTGCTTCTTTGTAACATGGGCAGATTGAACCCTCTTTATGAACATGTGTGCCATTGAGCCCTGGGTTCAGTTTGGGGGTTAGCCTGAATTTAAAGTGTAATCTGTAAAGCTCATAAGTACACTGCATGTTGTGTTTTTGTGTGTCAATTATTCTACTGGATGCTCAGCTTGTAGTTATACTTACATTTACAGTACCGTAAGTGTCGTGTAGTTTTAAAGTTACTAACTGAGATGTTTCTCCCTCAGAAGGAGTCGTGTCCAAGAAGACTCATTTGAGTAAGTTCTCTATACATTTTTTGTTATCGTGTGTGTGTGATAGTGACATTGCTTATGTTTGTGCTAGATATTTGTGCATGCATTTGTGGTTAACTTCGTAGTTACTGAACATACAACATGTTGCACCTGTACAGCAAATACACGCACTGTGGTGTCGCTGGAGTTGGGCCATTAGCAGCATAGTGTGTGTGCTGTGTGTTGCACCTGTGTTGCCCCCCCTCACACACACACACACACACACACACACACACACACACACACACACACACACACACACACACACACACACACACACACACACACACACACACACGCATCACAAGGAAGGTGAGGCGGTGACACTCAAAAGTCTGAATGTGTGTGCTGAAGCTGCAGTGAGCACAGCACCCAACCTGACTCGCAAAAGGACGAACGACAAAGAGAAGAAATACTGAGGGAATAAGTTGCGTGGAAAAAAGTGTGTCAAGTATTGTTAGACAAAGTGAGAGGACAAGTGAGTTTGTGAAAGTGGGACAAACGTCTGAACAAGTGGAGGAGTGAGGATGATGCGAGGTAGGGATGAAGTTCTTTGGCTTGTTGTCTGTGTGTGTGTGTGTGTGTGTGTGTGTGTGTGTGTGTGTGTGTGTTTGTGTGTGTGTGTGTGTTGGCCGTCCAATCAATATATTTTATTATTTATGTTTTTAGGTCAAAGTTTCTCATCTACCCATCCTCATTTCATAGTTTATCCAACGTGATTGTATAACTGTGACGTGATGCTTCTAATGCACCATATTGTTATGAAGATGCTTTATATGTTTTATAGTTTCACCTTAAAGTTGAAATAGCTTTATCTTTTTGTGCTTTTATCAAATCTCTGAAATAACTGGGTAATCTTGCACTTCAAACATGTTGACCTCTTTTAATGTCTTTGTTTCACTTTGCATGGACGTGGGATTAAGCATTTTAATTATGGTTTACGCTTTTCATTTAATTTATCCCTGGGTTGAACTTCATTCAAATGTTCACACATTTTTACATATATTCAGCCCTCTCTGCTTTGTTTTTATTCATTTTTTATTGATTAATCAGACATGTTTTGTATTAGTTCTGTGTCATATTACTTAAAATACACACATACTTTTGCAATCAGTTCAATTTTCACCTTATGAAGGCCAATGTTTTTATTTGTTTTGAAACTTAACTGAATCTCCAGAGTTCTTGATGCGTTCACATCAATACGTGTTTCAGTTTTATGGTTTGGTAACATGACTCAAACCCTTTGATGGATATAAGATTTGAATCATGTCTCAGATATTTCTTCCCTCTGCCTCCCACATACAGCACGGGCAAGAAGCTTAGCTGCCTCTATATGTTAAGAGACAAGTGTAATAAGTGCCTTAAGTTCAAATGTATATACTTTTTATATTGATGTGCAAAACACCTTTTGTTTAGAGTCATCATATATCCATCATAAGTGGTATAATTGAAAAATTACACAAATTAAAATTCAAGTTAAGGTTTGTTAAATGTTGCAAACTCTATAGCGAATACTGAAATCTTACCAAAGTGCAACCGAAAGAAACAGGAAAGCAGGATGCTTCATGACTGCAGTGTGTCAGTTTGAATGGACTGACCTCAGAAACATACAGGATGCAGAGGAAATGCTCATATTATTGTCAAACATTTAGAATGATTTCTTTTGCAATGATTTTTTATTCATAGTCATTTAAAAAAACAAAAACAGGTAGAGAAGATAAGGAAACAAACAATGATACACTCTTTCTGTCTTGCAACATGCGAACACACACACACACACACACACACACACACACACACACACACACACACACACACACACACACACACACACACACACACACACACACACACACAGACACACACGTATAGATACAGAAGCACACACTGATCCGCAGCTGCTTTTTAGATGGAGTCTAGATATAGCATATCTCAGCACTGCAGCTGTGTGTGAATAGTGTGTGAAAGAGAGGCTCCCATCGCAGACACATTTGAACTTCTGTGTCTTCTCTTCAACAGCAAACATTTCATTATGTAAATGTTACACACTCACAGTGGGCTTGACGCCGTCACAATTTACGCACACACACTTTTCATATGGCTTTGTTGTTGAGTTCGGGGATTCTTACAGTTTCTTAATCTGAGAGGATTTCCTTGTTCCTCTGCACTTCCAAAGCAGAAGCGGTTGGCTTGAGATCAAAGCTTACATCAAAATCGCAGGTGACACATTCCCCCCAAAATATGGTTAAAGAAATACAACATGAGCTGATTCATACGTGTGTCTCCTTTTAACAGCCCCATGTTCAGCCTGCACTTCAAAGTTAGACATGGTAAGTCTGATGCAAATTGGTGTTAAGATTATAAATCCCCTTCTCTCAGATTCTGTAGGAAGATGCTCTCTTTGTTGTTGTCAAATAATGAACGAAACTCAGTAGTGAATGAGTTTATATGACAACCAGCACAGTTTGATAACAACCTAAAGATATTTATCACCCGTATATCTGCAGTCACCGTTGTGATGCAACCTGAAATATAAAGTAGCTAAATATTAAATACAGGAGATTTTCAAGAAATACTTTAAATTAAAAAATACCCTGTTAGAAAAAATAATGTATGTAATGTATTTGTACTTTTTGCCATTGGTTAAGATATTTCTTATATTAAGGTTTTCCCTTTAAGGAAAAATTATTCTGCCAGAAATATAAAAATTTGATTCATTAAGTCAGGGTTCATTTGAAAGATTTTACATATCATTTTCCCTTTTCCACTTCAGAACCAATTCATTTAAATGTAAAGATTTGATACAAAATGTAACTATAATCTGCTATATTTTTAAATGTTAAAAGCATGCGTTTGATGTATTAGTAAAATGTATACCTTTTATATTAAAATGCCACAGCAAGATACTTAAAATTGTAATTTATATGAATTAAAGTAGCCCATAAAACGTATAAATAACAAAGTGCCTGCGTACGTGCGTGCGTGTCTGAGGATGTGATGTGTATTTACAAAGTTTGTTTGCGTATGTACCAAATGAAAGTTTCCGTCAGAGGAACATTTTTTTTTTTTTTTTTTCGTTTACAGTGCAAAGAACTGCTGACGAGTTGATTTTTGCAGAGAATGAAGAGTTGAGATAAGCAATCTATAACCCCCCCCCCACACACACACACACACACACACACACACACACACACACACACACACACACACACACACACACACACACACACACACACACCAACTCACACACCAACTCACACAAACTCAAAAGTATGTACTCACACACGCTTTCTAGGATAAAATCCAGACATCAAACCTTTTTCTTTGTTTATCTTTTTTCTCTTATGATTGCCCTATATATTAGAGGTATACGGCATATAGATTTGTATTGCATTTCAGTTTTATCTGGTGCGATTTGTCATACTTTATCGTCTCATTGAAGTGCTTGAGAATTACAAAAATTGGGAGCCAAAGCGATTGTCCAGCAGGAAGTTGTTCAAGAGTCACCTGTGATTCTTTCATTATCTATATTTGCTGTAATACACAAAAGCTTCTGCTGTTTGTACTACGACTAAACGAGTGTCCTTTTCAAGTCATTGATAACCCAAAAACTAAACTAAATGCTCATCAAAACACGTAAATCAGTCCGTCTCTGTGTAGCAGAGTCTTGCTACACTTTGCATGCGGAAGCGTGGGAGGGCACTCTTTTATTTTGACATCAAACCAGAACATTTCCACCACCGCACACCTACTGTAATCAATCATCTTCTCTTCTTAACAATGTCGATTTTACGAACCTTTGAAATTGATTGGATTGGTTGTTTCGTTGAAATCTCATTGCAGAATTTAGTAGATGTTAATACAGGTTAGTGTGGCATGTTTATGGTTGGTTTCATACTGTAGAAAGAGCGTTACTGAAACAGAGCGGAAATATAAAATGTTGAGGGTTTAACAAGAGATATTGTAAAACATGACATAATGCCACTGAAACTAAAAGTGTTGCTTGGACATTGGTAGCTAAATGAATCTTCAATATTGTTTGAGTAAATACAATCTACAGAAAAACCTATTTTTACTTGAATAATTAGTTAATGCTAGGTCTGCCACATGATGGTAAATCAACATAAACCATTTAGTGCATTCGCAATTTTGGTGAAAAAAGAAATTAAACTTGCATGTAATTGTAAAATAGGCACCGTTTTTCAGTCATATTGTCTGAAACACACAATAACCCCATTCTTTGTCACAAAAAGAACCCGCTATCAGAAGAAATAATGGTGGTTTAGTTATTTTTCAGTATTTCATCACTACACTCACACACTAAGAGATGTTGGCTTTGATTGGTCTGAGTCTGTGGCTGGAGATAACAAGGTGAGACCATGAAAAAAAAGCCCAAAGAAGTTTTGTTCATTTCCACTTACTTTCTAGATAAAGGTGTCTTGATTCTCACAGGCCAATAAAAGGCAGATTCCCTGTGTGTGTAATTTGTAAATCTGATGCTGCTTTACATACTGTGCTGTGTGTGGTTGGGTTGTCATATATTTCATATTTAAGAGCTATGATTGCATGGAAAGTCCATGAATGAGAAATGTATGTGATTGCTGTGTGTGTGTGTTGTTGTTTTTTGTGTGAGTACGTGTGCGATCAGTGAAAGGTTGTGGGTCACTGTGGATTTCCTGTTTTTTTGAGGTTGACAATCAGAACTGAAATTGCGAGGAAAAAAAACCTGCAGAGACCACTCATGCTCCCCTGCACGCAATCATAATCACAAGTCAGCTACTTTTATCGCATGACTTTATATGATATCTGATTTTTATGATATTAAGATTGCAGGAAGTGTTTCAGCTGAGTTTCTTTTACCCAAATGATCCAGTCATGATTACTGACAGTTGAATTTGTGAAATACTGTAATCCTTATCATGGTGAATCTTGAGGTCAATTAATCAGCTCTGTTTGCAGCAGCAATCTCAATTTTCATTTCTGTTTCATCACACATGTGTGAACTCTACGTGATACTTAAAAAGTGCATTTCACCCCAGACTGGCTGTCCTCCTGGAGCCTTCAGGTGATCCCTGTGGCACCAGATAAAGAGGGCACACACTGACACACTAACACACACTCGTGAGAAAATCTGACACAGTTATGCACGGAAACAAAAATACTACTACGTAAAAAAGTACAATACTGTTTGATGTGTCCCCATATAATGTTAAATGTGTTGTATATTGCAAATACACAGTCCTTATTACTTGAATTGGACATATGATTGTCAGGATATACTAAAAAAAACTGTTCACACCTGCCCCCAACAATGGTGTCTAGACATGTGTGATTCTTTAATGAATCAAAGGACATCCGATTATGACAAAAATCGCCACTAAGCAAGAGACTGATGGGCGTGAGAGTTGCATAGATCAGGGGCAGGGGTGAGAGGAGGGAGGGCTGTTACTGGCAGTGATGAAGGTAGAGAGAGTTCATTACTGGCAGCTGTAACTTATGAGCGAGATAGAGAAGGATTTTTGAAAGACAGTGAAAGACATGAAAGAGGGACAGTCAGAGTGAAAAAGAAGCCAGTCAACCACTTGAAAGGACTCTGAGGTTGACACCTTCGTCTTCTCCGTCTTTCTCCACTTGCAAATATTCCACGTCCTCAGAAAAATGCTCGCCGTATTTGATGTTATTTTGTTCATTATTATTAATTAAGACAGGAGGTGTTTAAGAGGAAAATACCTTTGGTTCTCGTTGGGCCCACAACAGTTGATAGATGTTTAAGGGGAAGTACAGCCTCACTTAAGTTCTCACGGTGGGAATCGCTTTGCAATGGACCAATTTGGGTACAAAAATTAAGCATTATGATGTTTATTGGCATATTTCACCTCTTTAGAAGCTGTGTGATAAGTTAAGATTGGTGATATATGGGTTTTCAAATTATCTTTGAATCAGAAAACGATCATTTTCAATATTATTTTAAAGAACAAGCTTTTGTGTTGTTTAATTTAATTGAGACATTTTAAGCTTTTTTCAAAATGTTAAGCTGCTGATTAAAATGTAATGTGGGTGTGAGGTGGCTGAACTTTAAAATGTTGACATACAGTAAATGCTTTTTCTTCTGTGTTTCAGCCCAGATTGAAATTATTCCCTGTAAGATCTGTGGGGATAAGTCCTCTGGAGTCCATTATGGAGTCATCACTTGTGAAGGCTGCAAGGTGAGATGAACAACATAGCTACTGTAAACACACAAACACACATACATTTGACATACTAGGAACAACAGTCTAGAGAATTAGATGAGGCCATTAAAAACCATGTTTTTCTGTTGGATATGAAGTTGGATTATCTTACCATAACAACTGTGGATGAAACAGCTAACCTTACAACAATTCACCTGTCAACACCTCGAATACACCACCTCGAATACCTCGAATACACCAGCTCCTTAGGTTAATCTGTACACACACCTGAAGTCTGAAAACAACGCCATATGATTTTAAAAAGGTTTATGTGTCGTACTATTACTTAACTCAGGGCAGTTACATCTTGGAGTCCTGCTGATTGCCAGATCGGGGTTTGCTATTTCCTCCTTTAGACTTTAGGATGTTGACATTGACAGATGAGAGTCGTATCAATCTTTTTATTTAACTTTCAAAAATACAGAAAAAAAGTCTACGTGCCAAATGGAATTATTCTTTGAAAATGAATCGTTCGAGCTAGCCTGGCGTATCGGCTAATATTATTTGGTGATGTTTTTTAATTCTGCATAGTATATTTGGGATGATAACAAACAAGAAAAGTGAGTAAAGAAATGTCCAAAATGAGTTTGATGTTATTTAGAAACACAGTAATGTTAAATGGCTTCTTCATCAGAAAGTACATTTAATTTTTTTTATAAAGGGATCATTTTTTATAATGTTTTGCGGAGGTGAAAAACTGTTGGCTGATATATCATATTTTTGTAAATCATGATTATCAATATTTGTATCTGCATCAAAGTTTCTGTTGGGCTCTGTTAACCACTTGGTACCTGGTTCCCTCCTCAGGGGTTCTTCCGGCGTAGCCAGCTGCCCACTGTCTCCTACTCCTGCTCCAGGCAGAACAACTGTCAGATCGACCGGGCCAGCCGCAACCGCTGCCAACACTGCCGCCTGCAGAAGTGCTTGGCACAGGGCATGAGCAGAGATGGTGAGACACACAAATGGATAAACTATCTTCTTCACTCACAGCATTTTTTTTATTTCAATGTGTTCATGTGTTTGTCCTCCTCAGCTGTGAAATTCGGGCGGATGTCCAAACGTCAGCGGGACTCTCTGATAGCTGAAGTGGAGCGGCACCGGCAGCAGCAGCAGCAGCAGCAGCAGCTCCAGGAAGACGCCCCGTCTCTCTTGTCCTTCGCCACCAAGGCCCGTCCAGACCGCTCAGCGCAGCTCCTTCAGCCCATGGCCTCCGCCTACTCCTTCAGCGGGGATCCCGAGCTGCTGTCCTACACCGCTGATGTCCACCCTTACCTGCTGTGCTCACCCAACGAGTCCCAGGTGTCTGGTATGATCTACCGAGGCTCCGCTGTGTCCCCCACCTTGAGATCCCAGGGGAGGGGAGACAACAGCGGACACCCTGAGATAAGAGGTGAGACACTTGTGTGTACCAATGTCTCTGTGTTCCGATGCCTTCATCCTCCTGTGCTTATTCCTCGTTTGTCTTTTCCTTTCTCATGTCAGGATTTGACTCCAGACAGCCGCCTCATGATCTGGTGGCGATTCACCCCTACAGCCCTCTGGAGGATCCTTACAGCATCTATCCTCACTCTCTGAGAAACGTCGGTGAGCAAACAGCACAGTGGGCTAATGTGTGTTGACTGTATTGATTTTTTATATTTATTAGGAGCTTCTTTCTTTGATTTTCAGATGAGCTGTGTGCCAGCATCGTGCGCTCCCACAGAGAGACCACTCAGTACAGGTTGGAGGAGCTGCAGGCTCTCAGATGGAAAGTGCTCAGCAGAGAGGAGATCCAAGTCTACCAGAGCAAAGTAAACCAGCCTGATGACTGTTTTACAATTCTCAGTTCTTACTCTCGTATCTCAGAACAAAACATGCCATTTAAGAAGGCTTGAGGTTAAAGCTACTTTTGATTCATCAAACAGAAAACTTGTACCATTCCTCCCTCTTTGATCACACAGGAGTAGTATGTTCAATTTAATGTTAATTACTTTATTGTCTTTTAAGCACATTTTGTATCATATTTAACAAATACAGAGTAAAAATACTGAAACTTGCTATGGTTGATCAGATCAAAGGACATTAACATTTAGGATGAGTTCAAATCTGAGTCACTTTTTCTTTAGATTGATTTGAATTTTTATCTTGAAATAAACGTACCCTTAAATATTGAACCAACATTTTATTTGATTTCTTATCCCCACTCCCAGTCGGTGGATGAGATGTGGCAGCACTGTGCCATCCGACTGACTGATGCCGTGCAGTACGTGGTGGAGTTTGCAAAACACATCCCAGGTTTTCGTATGCTCAGCCAGAACGACCAGATTGCTCTCCTGAAGACCGGTGAGTTTCCCTGACACAAACAAGAAGTCCCCTTCACCTTCATCAATATCAGAAATAGATTTAACTTCTCTTTTCTTTTCTCTTCAATCAGGCTCCATGGAGGTGGTTCTAGTCCGGATGTGTCGCTACTTCAACACAGAGAACAACACCGTCTTTTTCGATGGGAAATTTGCTGGACTTGAAGTCTTCAAGTCTCTGGGTGAGTAGTTCCTTACACGCTGCTCAAACCTGAAGCACAAAGGCAGTTCTGAAACCAAATGTGCACTGAACAGAATATATAAATATTTGATGATTTATCATGCTCTGTGGTTTCTTATCTTGCAGCATGTGGTGATTTAATCACAGCAGTGTTTGACTTCGCTCATGATATGTGTGCTCTAAAGCTCACTGAGCAGCAGATCGCTCTCTTCAGTGCTCTGGTGCTGATCAACACAGGTAAGACCAACTCCCCTGTCTTTCAATTATGTAGATTGTTATTCCCTCAGATCTGAAACATAGAAAAATGGGAAGACGATACAGAACCTACAGTTGGTTACCAACAGGCAACATCTGGCAACATGTATCCTTCTCTATGTTTTCAGATTAACATGGATGGTTCTTGATGATTCAATGTTGGGGTCATATTTTTGAGATTGTTCAGAATGTAATTTATTGATTTTAGTCTAAATCTATCTAATAACAGACACCATTTTTATCAATATTGCAGAAAATGTGTTTTGTATGAAATTAAATGAAATGTATTCTTGCCAAGTATAATCCAATTGTTAAAGAAGCTTCTCAGCATTCAGGTTTAATTTAAAAAAATGACATCAGAAATAAACCTTTTAGCCTTTATCCACCACATGTGTTTTCGCCTTCATTCATTCCCATACAATCGGCCTCTCTGCCCCCTAGTGGCTTTAAATGGACATGGTTATAATAACAGGCAACATTGGGAACCAGTAATATATGTATGTAGGTCCATTTTAATGTATGTTAAGGGTTTAAAAACTAAAACAATTTTTTTCGTCTTTCTGTGCAGAGCGTCCGTGTCTGGAGGACAGAAGCAGAGTTCAGCGAGTGCAAAGAAGCGTGGAGTTTGGACTGACACACATTCTTCACCGAGACAACCAAGAAAGTCTAATGCACAAGGTACATGCCTCAGTACCGGGCTGAGTTCTCTTTCTCTTATTCTTCTTCCTGAGTGTTCCTCACTGTAATAGAAATCTGATTGTGTGTGTGTGTCCTCCCTGCAGCTGTACCAGAGGATGGCAGTGCTGCGTTCACTGTGCAGTCTGCACATGGAGAAGCTGCGCTGGTTCAGTCAGCGTTACCCACTCACCGCTCACTCTCTGTTCCCTCCTCTCTACAAGGAGCTGTTCGCCTGTGAGGCCGAGCTGCTGCCGGGAACCACTCACTGATGATTCACTCGATCATGCAAAGACACACACTTATTGGAAGTTTCTTCTTTACTTCCTGACAGAATCTATTTTTCTAATAATTAAAATAAATGAAAAAAAGCACCGTAATCTTAACTTGTTTAGTACTGTATTTTATGAATTCCTGCAGAGTTTTTTTTTGATAGATTGCATCAGAAAGAAATATCAATATTTTCATAGTTTAAAAGTATTTTATTATCACAGGGACACATGCGTTTTGTTGTTGTTTGACGGTACATTGTCAGAGGGGTCCAGAATTAATTTTCTCTGCTACCATGAGTTACAGTGCATCTGGATACAGACATTTTAAAAAGCAGAACACCTTTCATTGTCAACTGAAGTTTCAAATGCTAGTTCAGAAGATTGAAAGTACGACTGTTTATGTATGTGCTAAATATGTCCGAACAGAGACACAAGGCAAGGAAGCTGATGAAGGTTTATGTTTTTCAATTTTCTCTGATGTTCAGAAGTGACAACCAGTTTCTAATTGGCCAGAGGTACTCTCTCAGTCTTTCATGAGCCTGTAAAAAACCTTTCTTCACATACCACACACACATTTGAAGGTTAATATAGTGCGTAACAAGTAGCCCTACAAATAATGAAATATTGGTGTGTGACAATTACATACAGAGTGTTAAACACACCCAGAAAACAGAGACAACCTGCCTTGCTTCTGTAGAGAGATGTCTCTCCTCTTCAGGTTCAGAAGTCCTGCAAAGCAGCCGTACCTCTTAAATGTCACCCTTTGTGTTTGAACAAATCCTAACAGGCTGTTGTTTTTTTCAAGCTTGGAAAAGATGTTGCATTAACTGTATACATTACATTAAAATGTGAGAGATAAAGTAGTGTTCAAACTTTTGCTTTTTTTCTCAGAACTTGCATATGATTTGTTTACATAAATAAAGCCATGACTAAAGAGGAAATTATGAGAGGTTTCATCATTAAATATCGTATGACCAGATGTGGTTCCAGGAAAGGGGAACCGCCTTTCCTGGAACGACAGTTTAAAATTAGGCTAATTCCATGTAAATGAGACAGATGTGGTAACTTCATTTGTCTTTTAGTGGTGTAATAAAAACAGTCTTAGACTTATGCAAGAAAAAGATGCAAGACACACACACACACACACACACACACACACACACACACACACACACACACGGTTTGCATGCATCTTAGCTCTGAAGTGATTAGCATGATCTCAGCAGCACAGGCATTGTCGTCATGTTCTTGGGAGTTGCTGCGGCAGCACTCAACACACAGGAAATATTAGTCATTGTGGGTTAGTGGAAAGTTATTAGGTTGTCATGGACAAAAAACAGTTGCTAACGAAGTTGAAAGAAGGTGAATTAAAAGACTCTGAGTCAATTGAATGTCGTAATTATGAAATTTTCCTTCAAAAACATTTCTTTGTCAAATGTACCTACAGTATTGTCACATTTTAAAGCTGCTGTTATCTTGTGTGTGTCTGCTAAAATAGATAATTACTACAGCAACATGCAATGATTTTAGTTTTTATATTTCAGTTTGAAAAGACTGAGTAAGCAATTCTTATTGAGATATTCTCATGTTGAATAGAGGACAACACCAGCACAAACTTTTTTGATTTAATCTCGTGTGGATTCTAACATACTTGTCTTGTGCTGTTCTGGACCTGTAAAGTATAATTGAGCAATTCAAATAAACTATCTTATTTACTCTTCAAAGTGAAGGAAAATAGCCTACAAACTTTCAAACAGAAACAGTTTTCAGCAGCCTTAAATAAAGTTGCATTTGTTGGATACAATTGCCTCAATACCACATGTTTCTTTTTCCAGTGTGAGAGAGACAGTATTGCAGCCCTGTGTGAGTCTGTTTTTGCTCTCTGACCTCTCAAGGGAATTTCGACTCGGAACAAACACTTCTGTATACAGTTTCCGGCTCCCGTCCCTCAACTGCACCCTCCAAAATGTTGTGATATCTGCTGTTTATGGTGGGAAAGATCTGCTGCCAGAGCAGCAAAGGCAAGATAATCTTTCCAGTTTAAGCTGTGACCTGTAGAGAGTAAACTGTGGAAACTCATTAAAGGACAGCTGCAGATGGGGTTGTTCTAATTTGTTTAGTTTTTTGTTGTTGACGAGAACATGGCGGGAGGGACTGAGTCTTCCTGACTGGAATCTGTAAGGTCACAATAACCCTGGACTCAAACTCTGTGTGTGTGAGAAAGAAGAGTTTAAGGCCTTTGATATCTCTCTCGAAAAGCAAACAATGACTCAAAAACAGGGTTGGTGGGATGGACAAAATACAGCCCTAGCTATACATTATTAAATGCTTTTAAATCGTATTCTTTATTCATCCTGTTGAATATTTTGACATTCGCAAAATAATGATGTGTTACAATCATTAGGTGTAGAGTTTAAAAGACATACATTTTTGAATTGTGGAAAATGTAGGCTCGGGTTTTTTTTCTTCCGTGGCCTTTGTTGGGGAAATATTTTCCAAGGCCCATAACTTTGACCCATGTCATACTCCTGACTGATCACACGCACCTGTAACCTTGGCTGATGTGCTCTCAGTGTTTTGTCTCCCTGTTCCTGGCTGTTGGCGTCAGCTGATTGAGGTGTTATCATTCTATCTTGTTATGCACAATGTTGATTATTCTCTCTGGACTAAATACATGGGTCTGGGGTAGAGTTCTTCATAATTGACGTGGCAACTCTGTCGTGAAGTCAGAACCTCTGACTCTTGTTTTGTGAATTCTCCGGCCGAAGCTCCAAATAAACCCATCAGCGTTTGCCATCAAAGCTCCAGCTCTCCCCGTGTCTCCTTTGAGTCGGTGACTCCTCCTGCATTGCTACACAGAAGTTCCCCCCGCAGCCTTTACTTGAATTATTATATAAGGATTTGAGGCTTTGATTAGAATTATATTTTTGAATCTTACTGTGCAATTAAAAAATGCCAACACACCCTTTAAGGTATCACACTCAGACAGAGAATGGGATATATTTTCTTTAGAAGTGTGTCTAACGAAAATATAGATGTGTGTCTAAATCCATATGTTGGGCATCAATGCCAAGTTAACTGTCTGTATCTGTTTTATGGTGAATGGTATCAGTTTTATTCAATTTATCTTTTTTTTTATTTTATCAGTTGGCATTACACAAAGGCATTAACCACTTAGGCAGAGTATACAACTGCATTTTTAGTCAAATAGGAATCCAACCATTTGGAATAAAATGTACATTTTTAAAAGTACTCCCTACAATCATTGAATATTTATGATATTTCTATAAATTAAATAAATAACATAAAATATTAGAATTAGTTAATTCATTGTCAATAGCCAAGAGGATAATTAGCTGGGCCTTATGGCAGGGCAATAAGTCTTAAACATTGGCGAACCGTCAGTGTTAAAAAAAGAAGAAGTCATTAACACATGTGCTCATCAGAGTTTGGAGAAGTACTCAGATGTTGTACTAAAGTAAAATAAAAGTACCAGAGTGTAGGAATAGTCAGTTAAAAGTAAGTCCTGGTCCTGCAATCAAAATGTTACTTAAATAAAAGCAAATAAGTATTAGCATCAAAATATACTTAACGACGTACTAAAAAGTAAAAGTAGCCTACTCATCATGCAGATTGGCCCATTTCAGAAGAATATACTGTATTACATGTTTTTATTATAATAATGCATTGATGTCTTCATCAAAGCTGGTAAAGGTGCAGCTAGGCCTATATTAAATAACTTTATACTGCAGGGTATGTGAATTTACTCCAGGTGTAACTAAAGTCTGATTTAAGAGTTGATTATATTTCACATCATTAATCCAAACCTGCAAAGTAACTAAAGTTATTAAATAGTGGATTACACTTAGTATTTACTTCTACATCGTAGTTGGCTAGACGTGCAAAGTAGCATCAAATACTTAAGTAAAGTAGGCCTATCTCCAAATTAGTTCATGTTCACATCACGTCCAACAAAGACGTACCCAGGATTTCAACTGAGTACCTATGAGTCATGTTGTAAAAACTTCCTTCCCTCCCTCTTTTCTTCCTCACCCCTTCTCGCCCCCCTGAAACCCCACAACTATAACATCTGTTTGTACGGTCGCGCGTTTACGGTCTGACAGACAGCAGGGACGTCTCTGTTCAACCAATTACCGACCGGTGTGTGTGTCTCTCTGGGCGGCCT